CACCAGTGCTCAGCCTTTAGCCCCAGACACCGAGGAAGCATCTGATTGTGACTGCAGGAGGAATGACAGCACTGGACACAGTTAAGACAGAAGACCATGACATATCACCATCAATCTCTGTTTAATTCGGAGACAGCCAGGATTATACAACTGTCCCATAGAATCCATCCATTCTAGGACCTCTGCTAGAGACCAAAATCCAAGATGTTCAAGTCTCTTACATAAAGGGGTGAGGTATCTGCATGTAATCTACCCATGTCTTCCCTACACTTTCAATCATAAAGTAAATCATGACTTACAATAACTAATAAATGTAACTGTTGTGCAAATAGTTGTTTAGTGTTTAGGGGAGAATGACAAGGAAAAAGTCTGTACAAGTTCAGTACAAATTTTTGCCCCAAATATTTTCAATCTGTAGTTGGTTGAATGTATGAATGCAGAATCCTCAAATACAGAGGGCCAAATATATGGAGTCACTTATTCTGATCACCTCAGAATAAGCCACCCCAAAATGTACCACTTTAGCACAAAAATGGTTTTGAGCCGAAGGCAATTAAGCAGCAACAATGCAGCAAGTTCCTTGTCCTTTCCCTACTTGCCTGAAAGCAGCACATAAAGTCAGTATCCTACAGGTTTCCCATCTCCTCTTCCATACCAGGAGGAGAACCAGCATTATTATGGCAGCCTCGAGATGGATCCACACAAACCACCCTTATTAAATAATCCTTACCTTGTGGTATTTTCCCCCAAATATTTCCTTTCTCACAAGTGCCACCCAGGAAGCCCATGCTCTTTCTCCTTGGTCTTGTCATTTCTCTGAAAATTTACCACTCTTTGTTTAAATGGTATATGACAGTGGTGGCAAAGCTATAGCAGGCATGCCACAGCTGGCTGTTTGTTAACACTGAAAGCTCTTAAGGGTCTACTAACACTAATATATAAACTCTCAGGCCTAACCACTTTGCAAGGTTTTCATTTTTTGTGAGGTCCATCCCCCTATGTATATAATAAACATTTCCTCCTATTAATCTTTTATAGGTTTGATTCATGGGCTGCAGACCTTGAACTTAAGAGAACAGATGACCAGTATTCCTTCTCCAACTGTTCAAACCGTGTCTGTTTTACACACTGTTGCATCCTTCGCACCCGGCACACTACGCAACAGAAGCTTAGCAAATGTCTGTTGAAGGGATAAATGAACCAAGGTGGAACTAGTGCCCAAGTCAGCCCAACTCCAACATGGGCCTTCTCTTGCATCACACCACACCACTTTCACCACCAGATTCAGAGTGTAAATTCGGGTCTACCAGGTCAATCTCTGAGCCACAATTCTTTTATACCTTAATACACACTCCCCCCTCCCCCGCAGGCTAGGGATGTAGCTCAGTGGTAGTGAGCTTACCAGTGAGGTTTGAACCCATGCTTCTTAATTTCTTTGTGCACAGAATGCCCTGAGGACACTATACAAGCGCAGGTTCTGGGCTGGGGAAAAGCCTGAAAGCCTCTGCACGTCTAATACGCTTCAGCCGAGATCAGTGCTACTGGTCACGGTCCCTACACAGAGTGGCAAGGTTCTGAATGAAACAGAAAGCTCTTAATGTACATTTTAAGTGCTTAAGATGGCAAACTTCATATACTTTATCACAATACATGAAAAAGTTACTTTAAATTGAAAAAACAAGCTCAGTACCATGCCAGGCTGCTGGTCCTTTCTCTGCCGCCTGGTAACATGAGAAGAGGGTAGAGACAGAAAAGAAGCCTCGTCTGACATCCCGGGAGGTCCCGAGCAGACCTTGCACTTAAGTGAGACATCTAGATGGAGCCCTTCCCCACTGTACAACAGCAATAAATTACCCTAGGGGCTCCTGTGCACAGGGGCCGGTCCTAGGCGCTGTGATCCCAGGGAGGGTTCTGCTCTATGGAGCTCACAGCTCAACACAGAGCTGCTTAATTCGCCAAAACCCTGCCCACAAGTGAGGGCAGGATTCTGTAGCACGCCCAAGCCTGAGTTTAAATTCCCACTTCACCAGTGGCACTGGGCAAGGCATTTTGTTCCCTGGGACTCAGCTTCTCTGCTTGTAAAATGGGAAAAGCAGTATCAAGATCATGGGGGCTGGTGTGAGGCTTCAATGAGGCACAGCCATGAAGGGCTCAGCCCAGTGCCTGGTACACAGCAGGGACAAGTGAACACTCCCTCCCTCCTCACCTGTCATAAGAAAAGCAGACTGACAATGGAAAGCAGACACAAGCAGAAGGTAAAAGCCAGCAGAGCTCAAGGAATGTGCTGGATCCATGACTACTGCAGGCTTTGACTACTGCAGTCTGCAGCCACTACTTAGCTCTAGTCCTGTGGCTCCAGGTGGCCACAGGCAACATGTCATGAACAAGCACGGCTGTGATTCAGTGAAACTTTGTTTACACAAAGAGGCAGCAGGTGAGATTTTGCCTCTGGGACATCCTTTGGCTCACAGCCCAAACTGCAAAGAGACAAATGGAAACCTGCTGAGTTTCTGAGCTGAAACTTAAAGGAGGTGGGCTGGCTAGAGTGACCAAGGAAGGCTTCCTTAGCCTATGCACAGGGGCAGAAGTGGACCAGTACACACACCCATGTCTGCCACGTGCACTGCTGCATCTCATCGTGCAAGAGGTGAACTAGTGCCTTCCAGCCCCCGGGGAAGTCTGGGAGTGATTCGGGGAGGGCACAGGAGACAGAATGGAGACCCAGTGACTAGGAGAAACTGAAGGACTCCTAGCCTCCATGGCCCAGCCTCCAGGGAACACAGAAAACAGGAAGAGAGGATCAAGTCAGCGTAATAGACACATTCCCAGGACGAAAGTAGAAGGGAATGTGGGGAGGAGTGCAGTATAGGGGATTGAACCCTGGGCCTTTACACTGAGATACATTCCTATCCATTTTTATTTTTTATTTTGAGACAGGGTCTCACTAACTCACTAAGCTGCCCATGCGAGGCTCAAACTTGTGATCCTCCTGCCTCTGGGCCTCCCAGAGTGCTGGGGCTATGGGCTTGTGCTACCTGGACTATCTGCAGAATGGATTTTTATGTTGATTCCCCCAAGGAAAGAAGAAAGTCCCTCCCCCATAAAGCTTCCAGGAAGTGTGAAGGATCAGGTAATCACCACTCTGGGCTGTCAGCTCCACTTGGACTTGGTTTACCCCCAGAGCAGCCAATCAGGAAGGCAGGACTTGTTTGATGTGATTCTTGCTCTGCAGAACAACCCAACACGAGCAGGTGTTTCCTGCAGCAAACACTTGAGCTAGCTCCCACCCACAAACAGATGAATAATACACAAAGCATGAACAAAGAGTCCAGCAGGGACCCCAGACACAGTCACTGCATTTTTGAACTTGATATATACACCCAGACACAGACCCACACATGCACTCACGAACAGCTGTGGGTATCAACACAGAAACACACATATATACAAACACAGACGCAAATGCACATTCATACACATGTAACATACATAAATACACAGGAGCACACACAGATACGTGAACTCATAAACACATACACACTTGACTAAGACTCTAGCCTTTTCCATCCCTGATCATGAACGTTCAGGAAGTGGGCCTCCTAGAACACATGGGGACACAGGTTTCTATGACCTCTCAGCTGTGTCAACCTCCTCCTCCATGGTGATGGCCCCCAAGCCTCTTGTCACCCACAGTGCAAGCCTCAGCCCTTTGCTGAGGTCCAGGCCGAACCCAACAGAACTCCCAGCAGCTGAAAACTGCTCCCACTGCAATCCGCCTATTCACAATTGTTTGACCAGCAACAAACATCCCATGGCACCCCAAAGGCTTCCTGCCTCACTCTAGAAACATCCAAAGAGTCCAGGGGGCCTTCAGCAGCCAGCTCACCTCTCGAGTCTCCCCTGCCTCTTGCTGCTGCAGTCACACTGAGTGGGTGTTCCGCAGTTCCCTGCATACTCCCAGACAGCTCCCCGCAAGGACCCTTGCACTCGCAGCAGCTCTGCTTCTCTGCCAGGACCACTCACCCTCTAGGTGTCTGCCTGACCTGCCTCTCCCTCGAGAGATTTCTGTCTACACACGTGTTCCTGGAGAGGCCTTGCCTGACAGCTCTGATCAAACACTGCGCAAGACCCTGGCTAGCATCCTCCATAGCCTCCACTGCTTTATTCTGCTTCATTGTTTACCACCATCTGACTTACACTGGAGTCCTCAGTTAATGTTTGCTCTTTACCCTTGAAAACACGAGCTCAAGTGCACAAGAACTCGGGTTTATTCACTGCTATAGCCAATGCTCAGATCCAGGCTGGCAGGAGGGAGGGGGAAAAGAGAAGAAAAAAGAAGGAAGACAAAGAGGAAAGAAAGGAAGACTGAATGAAGGAAGGAAGGAGGGGCAAGGAGGAGGGAGGGACAGAGAGAAGGAAGGAGGGACTCCAGGGAGATAAAGGATTGTGCACCTTTATATTCTCCCAGCAGAAAGAGTGGCCATCTCCTTGCTCCAGCTGCTACAGAACATTAATGAAACTGATAGAGACAAAGATCTCAAACCTGAATCCCTCAGGGGCAGGTGTGTGCCATAACTGAGGGTAGCAGGTGGTGTAGGACCAAAGGGAGCAGGAGAGACTGTGGGAGCTCCAGTTACACTCTGCAGTTCCTGCCAACTGCTGCCTGTGGGATTCCAGCCCAAATCTATCAGAACTTCTCATGTGTTAAGAAACCTGGGCAGACCAAATTTATACAAAATTTACTGGTCTATTAATGTTTGCTTGCATTTTCTAAAACCACTAAGACACAGCCATCTACAACTACAGGCAGATTCTGTCCATAAGCCTTCTTGGCCATGCCTAAACCTCAGCTTTCACATCTGTAAAGCAGGGAGGTGACGTCACTTGCCTCTAGCATTTGAGGCAGCAGCAGAGACTCAGAATCAATGCACAGCAACAGTTGGCTGGTGTTGTATATTTCTCTCTTAAACACACGCACACACATCTGTAGTCACACTTACGGGGTCGTTGATGGTTTCAGAGAACAGAGGCAAGCGGTCAGAGAAACAGGCCAACACAAGTTGAATCAGCACAAGGAAAAAGTACAAGTAGAAAGTGATATCGCGAAACAGGTTGTCTTTGGTGGCCTGAATGGGAGAGAAAGGAGAAGAAAAGATCATTTTCCAGAAGCAGCTGCCATGGCAATGTGCTTGTCTCTTCTAAAACTCATGATGAAGCTGAATCCCCAAAGTCATATAATGGAGACAGGTATTTGGAGACAGGATCCTCATTAGCACCCTAACAGGGAAACAGAAGTCACACATGGTGGCACACGCCTGGAATCTCAGCAACCTGGTAGGCTGAGGCAGGAGGACCTCAAATTTAAGACCAGCCTGGGCAACTTAATGAGATTCTGTCTCAAAATAAAAAAAAATTTAAATGGCTAGAGCTATAGCTCACTGTGAAGGCCTTGGGTTCAATCCTCAGTACCATTTAAAAAAAAAACAACGGAGAAGAGACTCAAGGGCGTCTACTGTCTCACCAGACGATGTCCTAAGCTGCGCTGGGCTCTGCACAGAGTGCTCACCGGCAAGGCTGCACCAGATGGAGCCTCTCGAGCTTGGAACTCCCAGCTCCAAAACCAAGAACTGAGTACATCTTTATTCTTTGTAAATGATCCAGTCTGTAGTATTCAATTACGGCAACAGGAAACAGACAAAGACAAGCCAGGCGAGCAGGGCATTTGGCCTGTGTGCTCTGCAGCAGGTCTAGTCACAGGCTTCCGGCCACCTCCTCTGTGACAGAAGAAAAGGAAGTTCCATGCGCGGTAGCCTCACTGCCCACTACTGCCTGTGGAGGAGTCCTACAGAGCGGGAGGAAGCCAGGGTATGGAGGGAAACTGTGCTATGTCCAAGGCCCTGCCCTGCTCGTACAGGCTGTGGGACCTTGTTCACTTACTTATCCTCTCTGAGCCTTGGTTTCCCCATCTACAAACAACTAGGAGTGAGTTTTCCTCCTGGGGAATATAACTCCCAGTATCAAGGGATGCTGAGGGCAGGGACGCTAGTAGAACCCAAGGGGTGGAAGCCAGGGATGCCCCTAAACAGCCCACAAAGCCCAGGACAACGACTCATAACAAAGTCATCTCCAGCCGAAAATGTAATTAGTGCTGAGGCTGAGAAATCCTGTCAGTCATTGTGAGAAATCATAAGATTAGTCACAAAAAAACTCAGTCCCTAAGTGGCAATGAGAAAGCAGGAACTCAATTGATGTCAGCTGCCATCACTGTCAAAGAGAAACTTTTCTGTTCCCTTGCATGCTTGGTAAGTGTTCCTTCCTTTGCCTCATGCCAGTCCCTGACTAGCTCCAAGATAGCTGGAAACAGCAGGTTAGAATCAAAAAGTGCACACTCCTCAAAATTCCCGGAGCAGTACACAGCAGCCAATGTAAACAACTTCTCCAGCCAGAGGAGCGGCTGATGGCACAGAGGTAATGTGGGGACATATCTAGGGCCGCTGGGGAAACAGCCACTGCAAATACCGCTCCCAGTTTAACTCCGTCACAGACTGAAGACACATGGAGTTGACTGCCTTGCGGTGCCATGGACAGAGGTTCACAGTTTATGCTGTATTTGCCCCGGCTCTTGCGGGATCCACAGGGGCCCCTTGGAGCTACACAATCAAGTGAAGGTGAGTGGGAAAAAAAAGGTTCTAGAACAAAGGCTGTAGCTGACTTGGTGAGGATTTGATGGAGTAGGGATGGCCCCAGGAAAGACGTGGTACCCATCCCATGGTTTCCGTGGCAACCCTACTACAAACACAAGAAGGAACAAGCATCTCTTCCCCAGGCACTGAAGGAAGATGCCAGAGGCCACCACTTACCTCTTTTAAGGCAGACATGATTCTGGACCTGAAGATGGCCAGGGCACACAGCAGGGCTGTAAGCCAGAAAATAAGCATGACCCCCGAGGACTGAACACCCTTCCTTCTCTCAAGCTGAATCAAAAAGGTAGCGAGCAGCTAGAAAAGAAAAGCACACAACAGGATCAATCAGAGAAGCCAAACCCCGAGGCCCCCGTGGTGCCAAGACATGGCAGATGTCAGCCCAGCATGAGGACTGTCATCCATGAAGAGCACAAGAACTGCCTTGCAGGTGCCACAGGGCAAGTCCAGAGTCTCTCAGAGCCTCCAATGCCTCAGCTGCAAAATGCAGACAGGCGCCCTGCCTGGGGAGTTGTGGGGATTTAATAAGACTTTAACAGAGACCTGAGGGAAAGCTCAGGTTAGGACTGAGATCAGCAGACGTTTTCTTATAGAACCATATAATACAGATTCAGACTTCATGGGCCACAGTCTCCTTCACAACTACTCAGCTCTGTCATTGTATCATGAAAATACCTGAGGATGACATGTAAATAAATGGATCTGACCGCCTATGTCAACAAAGCTTTATTTACAAAACAAGCAGTGAGCCAGGTCTGGGCCATCATCAACCAACACTTGATTTAGAGCCATAAAGACCTAGGTTCAAGTCCCAGCCCCTGCAGTTACTGGTTGTATCCACTGGGCACCCACCATACTGGTTCCATCCAAGTCCCTTCAGGTGTTCTATCATGAACAGCCCCCTCTGGCAGACATAGGTACTAAGGCTGAGATACAGAACACCTACACCTGCCCTGTGGAAGACATGCTTGTTCCTTCTTGTGTTTGCAGATGTTAAGGGTTTCCATGGACACCATGGGATAGGGACCACATCTTCACTGGGTCATCCTTACTCCATCAAACCCTCACACGTCTCATCTTCAGAGAAGTCTGTTCATAAGATGGTGGTAGAGGGAGTTCATGGAGGGTTTTATTTCACTCCTAGGGAAAATTACTTCTACTTCATGCATGATTTCACAAGCAGGGAGACAAAATAAGCAGTGCTTCTCCCTGGAAGAAGGTGACACCACGGCCACTCTCCAGAGGGGCAGAGCTGCCTTCAAGAAGCAAAGTTCCAACCCTAAATCACAAGCCAGACTCAGGAGTGGTGGGTGGCCCCTCCCCCTCCAAAAATGCTTGGCCTGGGAACACGTGGGTCTTTCTGTGCTCCCTGTTCATCTGCCTTGGTTCCACCTGGATCCACTACTTCCCGTGGTCTACCAGCTCCATCCCGTCTCCTGCCAAGGACACTGTTGTCAACTTCCACTTCTGCTCTGACCACCCACTCTCCACTCAGAAGTCACAGTTTTTATATATGCAAATCAGGGTACCCCATCCTTGCTCCAAGCCTTTCCCTTTAGGACCAGTGTTTAAGCCAGTGTGCAAGGATGGACTGTGGCTAGAAGCCAGGGCTCCATGACCTCAGACAGAAACAGTGACATCTTCCCATCTGCTGATCAGCACCACCAAGGTGGAGGGGAAAAGTACCACACAACTGTGCAGCACCCCTGGCCTTGTCACCAGCCCAAATCAGGTATCTCCACATTCCACAGGAGTGGCCAAGGATGCCTCCAACTATCACGTACAAACAGTGCTACTTGGAAATTAAGGCGTCATCCCACCTGCAGTTACAGTTGATTTGAAACGCATTAACAGAGAAGCACGTATCTTTTTGATCAGATTTGCTTTTTTTTTTTTTTTTTTTTGGTTTTTCTCTGGTACCAGGAACCGAACTCACGACCTTGCGCTTGCCAGGCAGGCGCTTTGCCGCTGAGCTAAATCCCCAGCCCTCAGATTTGCTTTTTAATCTCTTGATAACTGCGTTTAACTCTGATTCATTTCTAGCACAAATGTTCTGCAACTGAGGAATGGATAAATGACACATGATGTGGCCACACAATCAAATGCTCAGGGTCTTACTAAATTGCCCAGGCTGAGCTCAAACTCATGATCCTCCTGGCTCATCCTCCTGACTCATTCTCATTCCAGAGTGCTAGGATTCCAGGTGTGGGGCCTCATGTCCAGTCTACAAAAAGATCTTTTGATATATGCAATGACAAGACCTCAGAGCTGCAAAGCTAGAGCTGCAGCTGACAGTCTCAGCCCCACGACACTCTGGAGATGCAGAGCAGCAGGACAGGAAATCATGTCCTCAGTTGCAGAACATTTGCGCTAGGAAATGAATCAGAGTTAAAAACACAGTTATCAAGAGATTAAAAAGCAAATCTGATCAAAAAGGTATGTGCTTCTCTGTTAATGAGCTTCAAATCCAGCTGTAACTGCAGGTGGGAGGACACCTTAATTTCCAAGCAGCAATGTCTGTACGTGATAGGACACCTATCCTAAGCAGTGACTGGGTGGGAGGCAGCAAGAAGGGACAATGGACCCCAAATGGCAGTAGGAGGGAACTCTCCAGGCTGATAGTGCAGGAAGAAGTCACACAACAATACCTGCTTCTCAGATGTCACAAAACTGTACAGGAGAAAAGATGAATTTCACTGAATGTAAATTAAACCTTGAATATACGTATATGCCACATCACCTCTGTGTGTGTGTAAAAGTGATTGGTTTTCCTTAATATCCTATATATTTTAACATTACTCTAAGGAGACTTACACCAGGCTGGCAACAGCTGAAAAGGGTCCAGATGGTACAAAAAGGGTTTTGGACCCAGTTTTGGAAGTGGGGGGGAAAGCCCACTAACCCCAAAGCTCCAAGTTCTACAGGCTCAGCCCCTACCTTCCCTGCCGCTCTCGCCAACCTCCTCCGCATCTCTGCTCCAGCCACACAGGCGGACTCTCAATTCCTCCCTCCTGCCTAGGACTTCTGTGTGTGCTGTTCTCGTGGAAGGATCCTCGGCTCTCAGTTCCTTTCTCCTGTTCAACCTTTGGGCCTCAGCTCCACTGCCCTTTCCTGAGAGACATCTCCCTACCCTCAGACCAAGCCAAGGCCCCTGACTTTATCCTCATGGCCCTCTACACACATGTACACATTTTGTGCCTTTGTGGGGCAACTGTTTGTTCTATGTCTGTTTCCCCAGCTACACACTTTTATTACCAATGTCTGGAAGACAGTACGTGAAAGTTAAACTGGGTTGTGAACTTGACTGGCTTTGGAATCTGTCTGGGGATTACTAAAGTGTACTTCTAGGTATGTCTGGGTAGGCTGTTGAGGCATGGCCTTGGGAGTATATCTGGTCCCCGCCCCTTCCCCTCTCACACTGTTCCTCTGCTCCTCTTCTGTCGAACATGCACTAGGCAGCTTTGCTCCCTCGAGGCTCTTTCACTGTGATGCTTCTGCCCTGGAGCCAGATGACCATGGACTGAATCCCCCCAGACCACAAGTAATCCTCTCCTCCTTTAAGCTGCAGGTGTCAGGTATTATGTCCCAGGAACAGGAAAGGTAGCCAATACAGTAGGACAGTGGGACTGTCTCCCCTCTCATATTCCTAATGCCTCCCAACAAGAAGCAAGGCCCAGCAGGACACTCACAATGCCTGCCTGGCAGAACAGATGCCTGAGCCATGTTTGGAATCTGGCTCTACCACTTTCTAGTTGTGTGACCTTGCCCCAGTTCCTCCACCCCCTGTACCTTGGTTCACTTATCTGTAACATGGGCAAAATGATCAAACACACATAAATGAACTACTACATAATGGGATAAGGGTGGTGCCTGGCTCAGAGAGGAGGACACTTGCACACATGTGCTGTAGGGCCGTGGTCCTCCCCACCAGCTGTGCCTCACCTTCCTTCACCCCTGCTGTCCCCTCCCCCAACTTCCACTCTGTTCCTGCTCCACAGGGCAACTCGCCCTCCCTCCCCACACTGCCTTTCAGCCCCCAGCCCTTCCCCAGACATTCTCCCTGCTCAGCCTGCTTCAAGCTTGCTCCTTCCCTAGAGCTCAAGGGCCCTGCTCCTGAGAACCCTCCAGGCTTCCCAGGGGCCCCAGGCCTGTGGTACACAGGGAAATAGCGCTTGCTTCCAAGCAGGTCACTCTGTGGTCACAGCTGCAGCACAATGCAGTGACGACAAGGTTAACTAAAAGGGCTGAGGCCTTGCTCCACTGTGTATTAGCTGTGTGACCTAGAGCAATGCATTTAACCTTTCTGTGCTTTCATTTCCTCACCTGTGAAAGGGGACAACTGAGTACCTGTGTCACACAGGTTTGTTCTGAGAATCAGATGAATTGCAAGAAGAGTCAAACATCAGGAACCCTGTCAGGCACAGTAAGCCCTCAACAACTTCAGCTGTAATAACGAAAGGGCTTTCTGAGCAGCCTGGTACCCAACCTGCTACACCACAGCCGAGAAATGGCAGAGGCTACAAGGCCCCAGGCAGATGTATAAATGACTGAGGTAGCCAGTCTGAGAAAACAAGGCAGCAAATGTGATGGAAAGAAGCATCTGCTATTCACCCTCTGGGCAGGAGGCAACAGAGGAGGGCAGGGACTGCAGCAAACAGTGCGGCAATGCCCCACCTCCGGGCTGCGGCTACATATCCATTCCAGGGGCCCTTCCCTGAGACAACTGTGTGTCCGGCATTGCCAGGTCTCAGGATTTTTCAAGAGAAGCTGGATTCTGGAGGTTCACCTTGGGTTCTCCTCATGTCTAATTGCCAGCTACTACCATTTTTAATTTAAATTTTTATTTCTATTAGTATATGTCTGCAGTACGTCATGCTTCCATTCATGACAGGGAGCTGGTATGCGTACATAACACAGCACTTCTCACTTACTTCCCCTGCCTCTTCTACCAGCTACTACTTTTGGCCCCCAACAGGGCCTGGCAGATGGCCAAGGGTTTGCAGCCAGCTCCTACTTACCATGGTGATACCCAAGAGAGTGGGGCTGACCAGCAACACTGGGGGCAGGAGCTTGCCCTGACTTCTTTCCCAGAAAGAGTAGAAGAGGTCTGCCCAGCAGACAATCCACAGCAAGAATCCCAAGGCCTGCAAGGAAAGAGCACATACACATCTCATGGCAGACAGCACTGCATGGCCCCTACGCCCCACAAAAGCTCAGCCCTCGGGCACCAGCCAGCCCCCAGTGATCGGCCACCGTCTCTGAGAAACCCCCAGCTCTGGGAATACGGACAAGTCGCTCCAAGCAGAGGAACAGAGGGCTCAGGCTCCTCTGCCAAGTCTGGCTAATGCTCCCGCATCAAACACTTAAGGATGGGCCTGTGGCTTCTCTGCGGCTGCAACCCCTGCCCAGCGTATAAAGCCCCTCATATGCAGTCATTCGCTCAGGAATGCTCATCCAGTCAGTGCCCACTGAGGGCCTGCTACACATCTCCCATGCTTCTAGTGCGTGGGAAAATAACGGAGAACAAAACCAAGTCCCTGTGTTCATGGAGCTGATAGCCTAGTGAAAGAAAACTGGAAAGAAACTGAAAAATGCATACTATCATGCCACAGAGTAGTAAGTGTTGTACAGAAAAATGAAATCAGTTCATCAAGAGTGCTTGGGGAAGGCCTCTCTAATCAGGCAACAAGTGGAGAAAAAACAACCCAAGCAAAGAATGAGGGAAGTGCAAACAGCCTGTGGTAGGAACATGCCCAAAGGGTTTGCTGCAGCTGTGCAATGAGCAATGGGTACAGTAGGTGATGGCTAAAGAGGAACCTGTGTTGGAGCTACCTGTGCTGGGCCTTTAGGAGGAGTTCCAGAGTACAGTCCTGGTAGTGGGAAGCTAAGGGAAGGCTTTTGAGCAAGGGGAAGGATGAAATCTGATTATTATTCTTAAAAATGCTAATGTTCCCCAAGAAACATATGAAGTACTCCTAGCAGTCTGAAAAGAAGACATCATATCTAGTAAGGAGAGAAACAGGTATTTGTTAAAGCCTTTTTGTTTTAAAGCAGTTTGGGGTAGGCAGAAAAATTAAGGGGAAGATGCAGAGAGTTCCCATCTATCTGCTGCACCCACACGTGCAGCCTCCCCTGGCTACCAAGCCCCTGCCCCAGAGGGGCACACTTATCCCGAGACATGAGGCCATGCAACCCTGGCGTTGCCACCCAGGGACCACGGGCTATGCTGAGGGTCTCTCTTGGTGATGGGCACCTGTGGGCTCAGAGGTGGGGTACAGGAGAGGTTTTAGGGCCCAGGGGCTGTCCCCTTGAAGGGGACTGTGGGACCCTGGTCTTCTTCATTTTTCTAGCCATGAAGTGGATAATTTGGCCCACCATGTGTCCCCAGAGTGATGTGCTACCTGGCCACAGGCCCCCAAATTTGTGAACATGAGCAGTGGGACAGGGCCATGACAGATAACAAACAGCCCGCTACAGCATGCATGCCACAGGTTTGTCAACACTGATATAGGGAGTCGGCACTAGTTCTGGTATTCTGCTTGCAATTTTCATGTAGTTTAAAGTTATAAAAGCTTGAAAGTAGAAAATAAAAAGGAAATAGCTTTAATAAGGGAGGAAGACCTCCTGGTAATTTCCTGATGATCCCTAACTAAGAAGGCTATCATCCCCAACACACAAATGAGGAAACCGAAGGCTTGGTGAAGTTAAAAAATGTGTCACAGGTCACAGAGCTAGAAAGTGGCAGAGCTGGGATGTGAACCTATGTTTGGCTGCAAAGCTCCATTTTTTATCTACCACATTATTCTTCTGCCTTCAAAATAAAGGAACATAGGGCCAATTAAATGAAAGAAAAATGTGGGTTTTACCCAGGGTCTGTGGTTCCCCGCCTGGATGCCCCACCCCTTCCACCCCAGTGACGTCCCGGGTGACTTACAGTTTTGGCTTTGTTGAGGTGCGTCATCTGAATGTAGCCCCGGTCATGTCGGGAGAGATAGAGGAAGTAGAAAGGGAAGCAGGCCCAGAGGTAGCAGCAAGGCACCCACACGAGGACGGTGTTCTGAAAGCACTTGGTGAAGTCAGGGTTGCTGGTGTACCATGTGGCATTCCAGTCCTGCGGACACAGAACAGCGCAGCTTAGGGACCCTGCCGCCACCACCACGACCAGGAAGGGGGCTTGCCCAGGCTCAGCACAGCTGCTGTGGGGCTGCCAGAGAGGAGGGTACATGGGCCAACTTGCAAAGGTCGCTGGCCAGAAGACCCAGAAGCAAGGGATGGGAACACAGTGACGTCACGTCTCACCCTGCAGAACAGACAAAGTCCCAGAACTTGTTGCGAGTCCCACTGCGGCACAAATACACACAGTGCCTCTTAGAGGGACCATGAAGGATGCCCTTTTTAAACAGAGAACACTTGGGTCATGGGGGTCACCCTGACTTTACCATCCTGTGAAATGAAAACTTTCTGATCCTCTTCATCACCTTCACCATCACCATCACCATCACGGCCAGCGCCTACCAGCAGCTCGGGGTGCCAGGACTTACTCCAAATGCTTAGATAAATCAATTAGTATGTCCTTTGATTTTAGGAGTTAAATATTTTATCACCTACTTTTTAAGATGTGAAAACTAGGGACAAGCATGCTAGTGCATGCCTGTAATCCCAGCACTACGGGAGGCTGCAGCAGGAGGGTTGCCACAAGACTGAGAACAGCCTGGACTACACAGTGACTTCAAGGAAAGCCTGAACTACATAGTGAGATGCTGTCTCAAACAAAACAAAGAAACAAAACAAAATGTAAAAACTAAGTCACAGAGAAGTTGAACCCAGTATCACATAGCTGGGATGCTTTGGAGATAAATCCAAATTTAAGCAGCGGGGTTAAAATCCCTGTATCTCACCATTAAACCATCCACACACTCAGGAGGCTGAGACAGGAGGGTCATAATGATCATAAATTTGAGGCTATCTAGCAAGTTCATGGCTAGCCTGGGCTACATAAGGAGATTCTATCTCAAAAAATAAAATAATAATCCCAGCATTAAGGGAGGCTGAGGTAGGAGGATTGCAAGTTTGAGTCCTGCCAGGGCAGTTTAGCAAGACAAAGACTCAAAGTAAAAAGGACTGGGGATGTAGCTCAGTGGTAGAGCACCCCTGGGTTAAATCCCCAGTACCGGGAAGAAAAAAATAAAGGGAAGCGGAGAGGAAGGGAAGGGAGGGAAAAAAAAATTAGTAAAATAAAAAGCTTGTGTTTTGTTAAAGAGGCATGCCAATACATAAACAGATCCACACTTACGTAGCTAGATCAAGTACATCTGCCCAAGAATTAACTTCCACTAGCTACCAGAATTCTGTAATTTGCTTTAAGTCCTGACCTGACTGTGGACTGGGTATACAACTTTGAGAAAAGTTACTGCTCCATGGTGGCATCTCAATTTCCAATCTCTGTCATGATTAGACCGGATAAAACAAGAAGGTAAGACAGCCCCCACCTCAAAGCAAATGTAGCCACCCGTAGTTCCCTGCGGCAGTTTTAGACAAGCTTTTAAAACCCAGATTAGTTGCTAACATTTACAATTAGCCCGTTTCACATAAAATTTTGGCCTTTGGTCTTCTTTGCAAAAATCAGAACATGGGCCTGTATCTCTGCTCCACACCCGTCTGTCCTTGGACAAGGTTCTACCCTGGAACCTCTCGGTCTGCCAGCCCACTCCGGGACCACCGACTACACACCCTCTCAACAGCTCCAATCCCAACAGCGTCTCAGACTCACTTCGAGGAGAAGGAACCGCAAGGAGTGCAGAAACTTACGATGCCGCACAAAGTTTAAAGTCATGTCCAAAAAACTGTTGATGAAGAGAGTGTGAGAAGCCAACAGATCATTTCACCTCCAGAAAACAGCTGAAGGCTGGATGTGGAAAAGCACTTGACTAGCAGGCAAGTATGAGACCCTGGGTTCCCTCTCCAGCCTCTCAAAAAGGAGAATGCAGTTAACAACTGATCAAAATATGTGTGCCAAGAATTTCAAAACAGAGATCAGCTAGACATAACAGGAACATATCGTCACAGAACTACACACTTAAACATCGCTCAGGTGGTTATAAATGCAAAAATAAAGGAGTTCGGAGAGACAGACAGAGATATCTGGATATAAAGCAAGTACCTACACTAGTCTTCAGAAATATAAACACGCTATGATACAAACAGTTATTTTTGCCAGAGGTGATGGCACACACCTATAATCCCAGTACTTGGGAGGCTGATGTGGGAGGCTGAGGCTGGGGGATCGCAGCGAGTTAGAGGCCAGCGTGGGCTACATCAAGAGTTCAAGGCCAGCCTGGACTACATAGTGTGACCCTGTCTCAAAAAGACAAAAACGTTGTTTTTCCAGACCGTGAACAAAGGATTATTGAAAAGTAAACTCGAGAAGGCCAACAGTCAAAAGAGACTTAGTTTGGAAAATTTGAGACACAAAGAACCTAAAAAATTAAAAATTGAAAGACAAAGCTCAGGCTTTTATGGACTTGGGCATTTGGAAGAGAACCATAAAAAGAACACGGTTAGGGAGATGAGTGATTTATATCAAAGGCTACCATTTTAATTGGTTTCACACCACTTATAAGTCCTGAGGTGATAGCTGAAAGGGGATTACGCTGTTGGTGGTTATTACACACAGAACAGCTTCTGAGCAGTTGCCAAAAAAGGTTCATACCAGAGGAATTTGCCCTTCTAGAAAGAAAACCATGCTGGGCCTACAGAGTTATGTACACAAGAAACATAATTCATATGAGAGACATTTCAACAATCTGATCCTAGCCCATTATTCCCTGCCTGGGCCTCTGCAATAGCACCCAACCCATCCCACCTCCACGTCTCCTGGCCCTCCTCAGCCCCCACTCCAGCCAGGTATCTAGCCATCCCCATCCACACGGACACCCACAGACAGAACTACCTATGCATCCGCGAACCCATGCACCCCCTCAGCCACCTGTCTATGGGTCTGCCCACCACCTGTGTGTGCATACACGCATCGCTTCCCCCAGCCGTACGCATAAACCCATTCCTCTGTCCTTCTCTCTCCTTGAATGTGTTTGTTTGTAATAGATAATACATTTGTGTGCTAATATTTTTTTTAAACTACACAAAACAGCATATGGTAAACAATCAGGTTTCCCTTAACTAGCAGCCCTTCGTTTCATCCCACAGCTGAACTACTGCTGCTATATATTCCAAATACAGTCCATGTATTTGGTTTCCTCAAAAAATACTAGATTTTACTCTTATTCTGTACCTTGTTGTTGTTTTTTTTTTAACTTAACCAATACTGGAAACTGACCTTTATCAGAAACACAGATTTGCTTAATTCTTGATATTTTAATTTATCTTGACTAGAGTAGAAATGAGAAGTCTTCCATCCCATTCCTTAAAATCTCCCCACCCAGTTCCTCTTTCTAGAAGCAACTATTACCAGTTTCTTACGTATCCCTCCAGAAAGAACAAACACGTATGCAAATGTGTCCTGTTATCAAATGGAAGGAATATTATTCACGCAATATTCTGTACCTTTTTTTTTTTCTCTTAACAATAGATCTTAAATTATATATGTGGTTTCTCCATTCTTCGCGATGCATGCTCTACATTCCTTTGCATGCATGAATTTTAAATTTGTCTCCTGCAGTCTGGGCTTTTGGGTTGCTCTTGCAACAAACAACAAAGCTTTGGGAAAAAAATGTCTTCATTTCACATAGAAGCAAGCGTATCTATGACACAACTTTGTAGAAGTAAAACTGCTGGGTCAGAGGCTGCACACTTAAACACAAGGCAGGCACAGTCGGCAGAGCAGAGTCATCAATGTGCCCTCCACCTCTCCAGACACACTGAGTTCCAGGCTTTGGGTCTCTGCCAAAGTGATAGCAGAACGTATCTCACGGGAGTTTAACTTCCTGCTCTCCTCATGCCAAGCAAAACTAAAGACCTTTCCATGTGTCTTTAAAAGCAGTCAGAAAAATTCAGACTCAAGTATTTGCATTAACAAGTGAGACATTAATGAATTTGCATTAATAAATGAGGCTGGAGGAATGGCCGAGGGGTGCACTGCTTGTCTAGCACATGTAAGCCTGAGCTCGATCCCGCGCACCCCACACACAGACACACACAAAAAAAATAAAAATAAATGAGACTGATCGAGTTGCCCTCTCTCCTGTGGTTAACAGCCTCCCATGGCTTCCTACCCTGCGGCCACAGAAGCCTTCTGTATTCAGGTCCCACCTACTTCCCCGACCACTTCCCCAGTGCTGTTCCTCAATGGGCCATCTCAGGCATTTACTCAGAAGGGTATTTGCCAAGGCTGTGTTCATGGCCCTGAGACTGAGGAAGTCCCGGTCCTGGCCCTCAAGGCACTCTCGGAGCCAAGACAAATGAGTAGCTTCTTCCATTCTCTATCTCTTGCTAGACCCTCTCTCTGCACTGTTTCCCGGAAAAAACCCCTACTCCTCCTTCAAATCCCACTTAGATACCTCCTTTAAAAAGCCTCCTCACCGTCAGCCTCTCACCATGGCAATGACTTTACTAACTGACTATCACTATGTATACTGCAAGGACCTGGGCCAAGTTTTATTTATCTTTGACTCTCATCCTCCTCACCCAGCAGATACCTAGAAATTACAAATAATCTAAAATCATGCCTTCCCTCCCTGGTTTATTTCCTACTTTATTTTAATTTTGTGGTTGTTGTTAATTTTCCTTGTTCATTTGGTTGATTTGATTTTTGTAAATAAAATCAGACATTTGATGTGGTGCCAAATGTCCGTAATTCCAGAACTTTGGGAGGGTGAGGCAGGAAGATCTCACAATCCATCCATCTGGGCAACTTGACCACTTAGCAAAATGCTGTCAAGAAATAAAAAGGGCTGGGGATGTAGTTCAGAGCGAAGGGTCTGGGTTCAATCCCCAGTACCAGGGGCGGCGGTGGAGGGGTCACTCGAGCGGAGGTCAATCCAGGTAGAGCCTAGCTATGAGCGTTGGCTTTCTGATCAGGTAAGGTGTGGATTCAAATTGGACAGGTAACAACTCTTCCCGCAGTGACGCAGTCATGAAGGCACAGCTCCTAGAAGG